TATATATATATATCTAACATGATATATTTTGGAGCTACAAGTTGACTTTTTGCACTTTAAGGAAGAGTGCTGTTTACTTTTACAAAAAACTGAGTCAGCAGGTTTAGCTAAATGCATTTTCCTGTTGTGTTGCTTTTAACTGTGGATGGGCAGAGACGTGGAAAAAAAACAGAATTTAAAAACACAGCACAACTCAAGGCCCCCCACCAGCGAATGGACAAAGGCATGTGCTTCATCAGCTACATAAACACCAAATCGAATTAACCGCAGCTGGGAGCCTTTGGCTACGATTAGAAAACTAAACAGAAAAACTCATTATCACTCATTGTCACCAGCTTACATTGAAAATCTTATAATCTTTTTAAACAACACTCGGAGACTCCTCTGAGTTCACTTTTTGGTTAAGATGGCATCCCTGGTTTTATGCCGGAAATACGACTGTTTTATTGAAATTTGATGGCTATTAAAATCAGCCTTTCTACAGTCTTGTGAAACCACATAAAAGAACAATTAAACACACACATTTGTACATTAAACATTCAAAAAAACTAAAACATTGTCATGAAATAAAGCCAAATAATACAGCCATCAAGTTTAAAGAAAAATATATACTGAGGATAAACACTTAAAACAAAACTTTAATCTACACTTTACTTTAAGAACGTTGAGATGGAACATTATGTTATGTATTAATATGTTTAAACAGTAACCCTCCCTGTGGCCCAATTGTGCCCAATTACCACAGCAAGTGAACAACAGATGATTAGGCCAATTATTTCTGTAAGAACCTCAATTATGTTTATGTGTTGAATGGAAAAAAAGAGACTTGAACTTCTGCCATGAGTACATAACATCGTGTGCACTTTTCATAAAGTTTACGGATGTAAAAAAAAAAAAAAAGAAACTTCCATTTGAATTAAAGCTGAGAAACAAAGGCAATAATATAAAATGACGATAAGATATCACTCATTCAGTTTTTGACAAGCCCTTACCTAGCACCATGGTCATGTAGCGCTCCTCTACTCCAGCCTCCAACAGCAGTGGGGGCACGTATGTGATCCCAGCTGCCACACAGATCTCCAGGCCACAGGTCAGAGAGTTCAGCAGGATGAGACGCCACTGAGATCTCCATCCAGGCATATTTACAGGGGCTGATTCGCCTTTCCTTCCCTCTCGGATGGCCACTACTGAGGGCAGGGGAGATGGGATGGACGTGGACAGGGGTGAGGGGCGGAACTCTGGGTGGCAGATAGAGCCCCACTGGGGCCTAATGACTGTCGACGAGGGACAGCAGTGAAGACATATGGATGTCTCAGATAACCTGAAGAATTCATTCTCTTCTTGGCATTCTGGATCTGAAGAGCACAGGAAAAAAAACAAAACGACACAAATTCGTTAGACACCGACTTGGAAAAAGTCCCCAAATGTATAATTTGCTGTTTTTTAAGACCGTCCAAAAATACAAGCAAGGGCTTGTGGGAGAAGAATGGCAAGAACAATGACCTTGCACACCAAAACATCCACTATAATGAGTGCTGGACGGAAGAGCAGTAATCATGGTAAAAAAAAAAAAACAGAAGTTTTAGTAAACATTTTTTATTCTTAATGTAATGTTTAGGGTACACTTCAACAAACTACTGAATTTATCTTATTTAAAGTTCATCAAACTACGTAATATATCAGACTTGCTCATAAATGCACACGCAACAACTTTAATTGTAAAGGTATCACTATAATACACAATGGTATATCCATTTTTTAACACTGGCAGTTAATACACCTGTAGCTTCAAGCTTCAAAGGGTACACTACATTAGCAGTAATGGTTTTTATTAAACTATAATCCAACTTACTGTCAATGGTTAGAGCAGTCAAAAAGACAATAACATGTCCTACAGCATTACATTTCATGAAGTTGTTAGCTGATGAAAGATGAAGCAACAGCTTCAGGGCAGCAGGAAAAACAAGCTGAAAAAAAAAAAAGAGCAAGAATGACGTGGCAACAAAGTACTTGGCAAATGAGTTTACGTGTGTTTATTTCATTATATTCTCCATTTCGCCTTGTTAAATCTTGGTATAGCGACCAGGACTAATGGTTAGGCCTCAAAGCCGTTCTTCCTTAAACTTACCGTCATTATTTAAATTAACAGGTTCTGATTGCAGCTTTAGTCACATTCGAATCTACCTCCTAATTTGTTTTCACCGATAACCACTGCTGAAGAGTGAGAGAGACAATGTAACACTGTAGGAGATTCTCACATATAATGAGTAATTTGTACAGCATGCTTCTGTAAGATGGATATACTGTAACTACTAACAGTCTGTTGCTTCAAGGACAGGCTAAGAAACAAAAGTCAATGAAAAAGAAACATTTTCACAATTTTGGAAATGCTTTCAAGATGGTATAACTAAACTTAACCACCTAGAACCAGTGACTCTTTCCTCTGGGCTTAAAGATGAGAGGAATGTCTAAACTTCACTGAGTTCTTTTCATATCATCTGCTCGCCACTTTCAAAAAACTTACAACACATCAACACTTTGGTCTTAAGTCCATGTTAAGTGTTTACTGGGAGTAGTATCAGCCCATCTGCTGTTTCCCAAGCCTGCATACAGTCATCCTAACAAAGAAGAACGCTGAGAATGACATGGCTAAAGCAAAACAGAGGGAGGAGATAGAAAAATAAAATTAGGTAAAGCACAGTCTTCTTTTTGGGGCAAGATTGTTGTGAAGTATGAGCATTTGAAATGCAATCGAGATGTTTTAATCAGTAAAACTAGTGCGCCGTGTGGCCTCTTTGTTAATACTGTTTGTACATTATGCTGATTGTTAAGTAAATATAATTTCATTTATGTTAGCTCACACATTAGGACCTAGTTAATGAATAAATGGTGGCTGCACAATCTTCCATCCCCCCCCCCCCCCCCTGTAATATTAAAGTTCGTCTGAACAGTAAACCTCTTCTTTTAAATGGTTTATTTGGCTAAATACAGTACTTCAATGCCATTGTGAATTTCTAGACTTTTTTTTTTTTTTTGGCATGGTTTAAATTTAATTTGAAGCCATATTTAAATATAAAGACTTCCAGACCCATCTGTGGCCAGTTTTGGTCACTTATTTGCTCTTCCATTGTTTAAAGTTACAAAAAACACTTCGTTCACTTCTGTTTGTATCGTTTCAGTTTAGTGATGATCACATTACGTAAAACGATAAATACATTTGATTAGTTTCAAATGTATACATTTCAAATGTCGGTGGTTTAATTTGTTGCATAAATGCAGAGACATCAGGGCAACAATCACAGGTGGGCAGACTAGAGAAAATGAAATAACTCATGCATTAGAGCCCTGAACAGGAGAAGCAACGATGGACTGAAATAATCATTGACAAACTGACTAATCTGGAAAAAAAAAGACAAGTCAGCTTCCAAAATAATCATTAGCTGCAGCCCTAAGTGTGTTTTTTGTGGAAGTGTTTCAGCTGACAACAGGCCATGTTCTCATAATTAATTTAAAAAGAGCACGTGTCAGACAAATAAATAAATCCTTTCTTGGTTTAAGGTTCAAACGTTTACCATGATTTAAAGTTAGGAAAAGTATCTTTACAAAAAAAAAAAAAAAGGATGTCACTGAATGGAAAGTGAACTGATGGTGAACTTATAAATGTCTCTGCACAGGAATCTCAAGAAATCTCTCAGTACACAAAATTTTTCATTACAGTTTCATTTCCTATAAAAATACAAACCAAAACAGGAACTAATAAGAAAACCACTATCGTTATCATTAATCAGTTAGACAAGTGTTCTTCCAAAGCAGAGCAGTCAGAATAGCTGCAAACACAAACAGGTTCTATATTTGCATCTGCTCAGACATTTCTCTGCCAATCTGCCCATCTGTTCATTCTTAGCACAAAACATAGATGTCATCATGTCTAACAGGACTTTGTTATTCACAGAAACATGCTCAGCCAGCATGTTGAGGACCTCTGCAGTCCAGCCAAAACAGACTACCAAATAAATAAATAAATAAAAAGAACGACAAAGATAAGGCATTGCTGAAAACATAAGAATTTGCAGTTCTTAAAGCGGTCGTTATAAATAATTTTCAGGTTTCCTATGTTTGAGGTTATTTATTTGGGGTTTTGAATTCACGAGCAAGTCAAAAACATAAATCGATCACCCTAGGATTTAAAATATTTCTGTTACAGTAAGCCATTTGGATTTGCAGTGGAAGATTACGTCACTTCTATAGTTCAGAGTTGAATAGTTTAAACTTCCGTCTCCCAATTTTAACTTCAAATTATAATGCTTTTCGTTGGTAGAGGGAGTGAATAATCTTCATCTTGGTTTTTGCTCAGCATGCAATCTCAAATTCTTAGTAATACATAATACACACATTTATAAAAAATGTGCTGATTGTATTCTCCGATTGTATTCCGTCAGTACGTCATTTGATTTCCCGATAATAAAATCATGACACCAAGGTTTCATGGTCAAATGTAGGCCTACAGTCGAGTGCACACGAAATCAAAAAAGTCCATTCACACCAGTCAGATTTCATCTCGCGCCCCCAGCCATGGCACTTTGAAAGACACACATCAGGGGATCAGCCTTTGCCCCGTCTGGCTACTACAACCCCCTACATATTTTGTGTATGTGTGCACACACACGCACGCGCACACACTGTTTTATCAGTCTCCCTTTGCATTTCTTCCTCAAACTTCCCCAAGCCCCGAGGTCAGAATCATGCCTGACCTGCATTTTTTAAAGAACCCCTTTGACATATCTACCCAGCATCAGTTCTGCCTTTATGGTTCTGAATCTCAGTGTGAAAGCTTTCTATGGCAGCCCCAGCTGGCTCTCTGTCAGACTTTCTCACTGAAAACACAAGGGTCCCTGGTGGCTAGAATAAAGAACTCTGATTTGTCTTACCAAGCAGCCAAGGCCTGTCTGAACATTTCCAGGGTTTTGTAAACTGAGTAGTTGCTTAATTCTTGACCTGACTGGCATGAGTCAAGAAAAGATGGACGGACTAAAAAGCAGTGTGGAAAACATGAAGAGTAGAAGCTGTGCAAGTGGGTCATCAATCATCCATTTAGTCACCTCAAAGTCAAACACATACAAAAACACTTGTCTATTCCATACACGGTACTATGACCAAAGGACAGAAAAATAGCTTTTAGGCTATTTAGATTTAGGTTTTCAGGACTGAAGGAAGTAACAAATGTGTGTCTACACTTACATCCCCCCCACCCCCCAGTTATTCCCCAGTACCAACCTCTGACTCCACACTGTATTCCAGTCATGTCTTCCATCCCTACACATAGCCTTGGAGACACAAAGGCACGCTCGCACTGTTACTAAATGCTTCTCCAGCGCACATTGTATGTTTTAATGCTGAAGTCTGAGCTTAGCTGTGACAGTGAGACAGTGGAGGATGGTTGCTTTTGTCAGCTCTCCCACTGCTCCATTACCAAGCCCCATTCATCCAAAGACCCCACAAAAAAAAATCTACTAATGACTCTGAGTGGTATTCTAATACAAAACAGGCTTTTCATACAATTCTGTGCCAGTGAGGGTAATGGGATATAATGAGGTTTCAAATGTAGCCCAAGTCTTTTAGAAATTAAAAGTTTAAGTAGATAAAAGGCTGTTAAATAGTGTGGGATGGGGGTCTGCCTGCAGACACCAAGGTTTGGAAGGGAAGAGAGGGAATTGCTCTGAAATGACATTAGGGTTATAACACAGTGGACTGCAACAACAGGAGGGTAAGGAGATGAATGGCCGTAGCATGGTGGCCTTCTCATTTAGTCCCTGCACATTAATGGACTCTATAGTCAGTGTGGAGAAACAAGAGGACCAGCATTAAAGACAACTGCCTGCCTGGATTAGTTCCTGTAAATCTTGCTCTGCACACATTGTTCTAAAGCAAACAAGGTGCAATGAAGGGAATCTGAATGTACCAGGGATCGCTTAAAAGCTAATGCTAGGCAGGTGTTGGCACTGTCCTTATCAGAGCGGTAACTTCTAGATACAAGATTTAACTGTTGGATCACAAACAGCAACGTCATCTGATTATAGATACTTTTAGTTATCCAAGATGTAGTTCCCAGTTTTAGTTCTATTACAAAATAATCTGTGTAA